AAAAGTCCCAAGTTTGAGTTTGAGTTTCTGACCAGCCGTCACTCTTTTGCCCTTTTCTCCTTCCATACTTAGAATTTGAATGTGAGGTTGGAACTATTGGAAAGCTTGTTTTTGGAGCTTCAATTTGGACACAAGAACGACCTAGAACGGGGTCCCGATGAGAGAGTTATACCAGTTTGAAGTTTTCACATCTGTGCTGGAAGCAGATCCGCACGTGCGGGGAATATCGGCGCACGTGCGGGACTGTGCAGGACAGCAGCTCAAAAACGTGATTTTTGGACCATTTCTTACATTTTCTTTTCCTCTCTTCTTCTCCCCTCCTCCATGTCCGAAACCCTAGCTCCCCAAACCTTGATTTCCTCCACTTTTATCAACAAATCTACCATGAATCTTGCATCAAGGATGGAGAACAAGAGAAGATAAACATTTTCTACCGATTGGATTTCGAAATTTTGGAGGAATCTCATCAAGCTTGCTCCCTTGTTTGATTCTTGAGGTACGGGTTCTATTATTGGGTTTAGATTATGGTTTATGGATGATGGACCTAGGGTGTATAAAAAATGGGAAGATTGGAACAAAAGAAATGGGTTAAGAAAGTTGGATTGTTCTTGAAATTTCTAGATTTTTCTTGAAACCCTAGGTTGATTTTTGATGATAATCAATGATTTAGCCCAAATTGAGAGTTGAATCATGAAATTGGTAGGTTGAATTATATATATACAAGTTTAATTGGAATTTGGTTATGTTTGAAAATTATGTTTAAAATTTGCGAATGAACTTTGATATGAGCAATGTAAATCATGTTTTAATGAGAAAGGAAATTGGGGGAAATGATTTGTTAATGATATAAATGACATAAACTCGGTTATGGAATGTGGAAATGGGAGTTAAGAATTCCTCTTGAATTATGTTGACTTATATTTAATGATGTTGAGTTGAATCATGTTGTTTATGTTGAATTGCGGTGATTATGTGGGATGGTATTGACTATATTGACTTTGATTTTTGTGACCTAAAATGTGGAGTTTTCTGAAATAGGTTTAATTCCAAATTATTTTGCTAAATACTTGTGGGCTTGCTTAGTTATTAAAATCAAGAGAATGATTTAATGGAGTTTCTTTATGGAGATAGGAAATGTTTGGTTTTTGGTAAAAACCCTAGACATTCAGAAATTTTTGGAAAAATATGGAAGATGTCCATACAATTCCGTTCTATCTTGAAATCGAAGTGATTGATTATAAATTCCATACTGTGTTTGCAAGAATGGTAATCTTCTATTTATATATATATTGAGATGGAGGAAATTGTGGTATAAATGGATGCTTAATGGTGGGCTTGTGAAGAATAATGAAGGAAAGAAAAAAAAAGAACTAATGACTAAGTTATATATGTGTACAGGGCACACTTCAGGAGGGACAAGCACTCCGTTGTAGCACTGTGAGTAGGAGTACTATAGTCGTATGTTCAATTATCGTTAATGATTTTCATTGTTAAGATTATGTTCCTTGCAAGTAATTAAGTTAACATTCTGTTTACTGTTGACGATGAATACTAACATTCTGTTATTTACAAGATAGCTTACGAACAAATGGAACGTATAAGCACTATGGAACTATGGTATCCACGTATCTCTGAACCCATTCAATCGGTAAAATGCGCTTACCTTTTTGTTAATAACTATCAGGAATGTCCTGTTAAACTTAAGTCAACTATGTTAACATATATAAACGATCAAACAAAGGTGTATGCTTCTGTATGCTACCGATGAATAGATCAAGTGAACTACGTCATTCTTAATGAATAATTAGCTAAGACCACAGATTGCTTTATACGTTAATACCTGCTAAGTATTATGATAAACAACGGATTGACTTACGGATGGCTCAACCTAAAGACAGAATTAAATATCGATGACCTTGTCATGTAATCCACATTATGATGTACCCTGTTCTGTCTTTGCTAAGTGTACTGTAATGACATGATATAACAAGAAATGTTCTATGTTCTAATATGTTACATTTTGAATTAATGAACAGTTGGCCATATATGTAAAGTATTCATGACATCCGTAGCACACGACCCTTACCCGAGGGTAATAATACCATGTTTTCAAGTATGTTACAAGTTCAAGTATGTTTTCAAGTATGTTACAAGTGCAAGTATGTTTTCAAGTATGCTTTCAAGTATGTTACATGCTCAAGTATGTGTTCAGGTATGTTTTCAAGTATGTTACAAGCTTACGTATGTTATAAGTTCTCAGTATCAGGGGATTCCCCTCATGGAACTAACAAGTATGCTGTATATTGATTTGTTAGCGCTATCGAAGTGCCAAGTATAATCAAGTATGAATTCCGACTTCTGTTTATGATTCAAGTATAATGCATATGCATGAATTTGTTTCTGTTTATGGTATGACATGATATGAATGGTTTGGTCTACAAGACCTATTAATTACAGGTATGGAACTAAGTGCTACATTGTGAGCCACCTCTAGAGTCCATGTGAGACACCTCTTGAATTCATACAAACTTTTCAAGGGCTTCATGCCAACTTTTCAAGGGCTTAATGCCAATCTTTCAAGGGCTTCATGCCAACTTTTCAAGGGCTTCATGCCAACTTTTCAAGGGCTTATTGCCAACATATTTAAAGGCTTAATGTCAATACGTTCAAGGGCTCAATCCCAACATGTTCAAGGGCTTCATGCCATAAGTTCAAGGGCTATATGCCATGCTACTACATTCAAGGGCTTATGCCACTCTGTATAAGGGCTTCAAGTCGCTATGTTTCAAGATATTATGTTCCAAGCCATTATGTTTCAACACTGGGCCTAAGGCCGTTATGAAATTAGTACAAAATCAATTAACCTTATGTCCTCTTATTTATGTATGCATTGAAATGTTTTATAATTCAAGTTAGGTATTGAATTGTTATGTACTATTATTCACTGAGCTTCGCTCACTTTGTGTTATGTCTGTTCTGTAGGTAATCACTTTGGGAGTCTGTCTTAACCCTTAATGCTCACCCTTCATTTGTCAACCTCAGCATGCCCAGGCTCTCAAACCAAGCTCATGCATTTATGTGAAGTTTTGTTAAAAATTTTAGTTTGCACTTTAATTATTTATCTAAGGTGAAGATGTATGTATGTAACCCCTTTCTTTACCAATGTTCGGTTCTACGCTCAATTATGTATATGGGTATGTATTTAGATAAAAAGCTCTCACGTATGTGATCCTGGCATGTTAGTTTTAGCTCAATGGATGTTATTCTATGTTACTTTGTAATATTAAATGTTTCCGTTCAGGCCCCATATAGTATGTATATCAGGTTAAGTGTCCATTCTGCATAGGTCATGCCCGAACTTTTAGGGGCGAGTTTGGGGTGTGACAAGAGCAAAGGTTGATGTTGAAGGCTGGGGCTAGGATTAAGGCTAGGGCTAGAGCGATGGTTGAAGTCAGTGAGACCAGGTTGCTATCTATCTCTTTTACGATCCCATCTTGGAGTGAATTGCGCTTCTCTCTCCACAGAAATACGATTCTTACACATTTCTCTCTAGGAAACGCAGAATCACAATTCTTACTCAGAATTGCCACCTAGTTGCATGATTCCTGTAACTAAGTTTGAAAGAGAAATTAAAACGATTATGGGTTTGATGTGATAGTTTGTCTTATTAGCTATTTGAGCATATTTTGTCTTTTTGTAGATTTTAGCCTAAAAGATGCTAAAAATTTTCTTGCCAAACACCCTAATTTTTTTCTCACGGGTCTGATGCTGGAGCCAGCCTTCATACGTTCGTGAATAAAGGACCGCTAGGGAAGCTCCTTTATAGACTCTGGGGCGAGAGTTGGAAAATAAGCATACACCTATAGCTGCAAGGAAAGTGCAGTGATATGTGATCAATAATGTATTTGAACAGATACAGAAATTACAAAGCAAAAAGCATACAGCATGAACAGATACAGAAAATGCAAAGCAGAAAGCATACAACATGAACAGATACAGAAAATGCAAAGTAGAAAGCGTACAGCATGAACAGATACAGAAAATGCAAAGCAGAAAGCATACAACATGAACAGATACAGAAAATGCAAAGTAGAAAGCATACAGCATGAACAGATACAGAAAATGCAAAGCAGAAAGCATACAGCACGAACAGATGTAGAAAGTGCAAAGTAGAAAGCACATATGTTGAAACAGATGTAAAGAAGGAAATGCAGAGCAGAAAATATAAAGTGCAAAGAGGGAATTGGGATCCATACCTCTCAGGCTCGCCAGTAGCCTCCGATCAAGTCTCCCCGAAGACGGGAGGGAGCTCATGTAGCCGTATAAAGTGGACAGGCCCATTCTGTCCCAGTCGTAGAAACGTACCTGAGGAAGGGTCACCAGGGTGCTCAGCAAGTACAACCTTACGATGTTTGCCTTGTTCGCGAACAGGGTGGTACCGAGGAGGAACATCAGAAATTCCCTAGCATACTACTTTATCTCCCCTATTGTCTCTGGTTGGCTCCCTCAGAAATGCTCAGCAAACCAGCTATATCTTACCATGGCTGATCAGAACAGAGGTGGGCGCGCTTCTAGTAGCTCTATCCCAAGCAGCCTCCTAATCCCACATATCAGGGTCGAAAGGAATCGGATCACTTCTTACGCCTAAGCTTCTGATTATGGCAAAGCCGTAGGGAGTCATCGTTTTCTTCCCGGTAGTACTAGCGCTCCAAGAAGTGGGCGGCTCGCTATAATCCGTGTCAATCTAAAGTAGAATAGGCCAAAGCCGACCTCATCAACAATGTCGCGGACTCTTACAAGGAGCTCGTCATACCAATCCCTTTCTGTCATAGCCCATGTATGCGCGGGAGTTGCCCTATGGTAGAGAACAGGTGAATCAGATAAGGCAATTGATGAAAATACAGTCAGAAAATACAGTGCAAAGCAATGATGAAAATACAGTTGGAAAATGCAATACAAGAAATGTGAAAGGCAGAAATGTGAGTAAACAAAGTTCATACCTCAACAGCAAGGCATGAAAGGTGAAAAGCTGACTCTTTCAGTAGGAGGTCATCCAACATACCGTGAATAAACTCAGTGAAGCGTCTAATGCCTCCGGGAGGTAAAATATGTGTCCAGGAATGATACCTTGCCGGATCAGAGGGTTGTACCCCCAGTGGTAGCAACTCAGGCTCAGGCTCTAGGGCGAACTCTGCCTCAAGCTCTGCCTCAATATCCTCCGCCGCCCCACCAGCTTCAGTTATCATCGGCTCCTTAACCTCGGCATGAGGTGCTAGTGAAGGTGGAACCTCTAGAGGGGCTCTGTCATGTGGAATATCATCTGCCATCTGGAAAATGGGTGAAAAGTCAATGAAAAGTGAAGAAAAATTGAGAAAATAGGATAAACTCAAAAAAAGTCAAACCTTAGAAGAGATAAAATGAAAGAAAAAGTCAAAACCAGAAAAAAGCCACCAAACTCGAGAGAAACTAGGGGGGAACAAGCCTAGAAGTGCGAAAATGAGTAAAGAAGTGTCGAAACCAAATTTTGATCGATTCAACATGTTGAGAGCTAAGAGGATTTAGCGAAGAAAGTGTTTGTGGGGCATTGGAAAACGCGTATAAAGCTTGGATCTAGAGAGGGAAAGTGCCTAGAGAGAGAAAAAGAGGAATTTCGGCCTTGGAGAAGTGAGGAAATGAAATGAGGATGTGTGTATATAAAGACCCTAGGCAAAAGGTTGAAAATACCTCGAATCTGCCATCGATGGCCGACCACCATATTAGTGGCTGACAAGCTTCAGAGGGGCCAATAGGTGGCCGACGCCCTCCCCTTGCGGCCGGCCAGTGGCCAACGCCCCTCCACTAAGTCTTGATGTTGTTTTGTGTCCTTGTTTTCCAAGAAATGCAAGAAAAGTTCACTGTTGAGTTCAGATTGTCTCTATGGAAGCTCAAAAGTTTGTTTTCAGCGCACAGTGTTCATCACTTGTCAACATGAACGAGGTGTATCCTTGAAACATGTTGTAACTCTTTCGAGAGGTAAATCAGAAGTTGCCACGGAATTTGTTTTTGTCAAATACGCTTTTGTTCCTTGAATAGAAGGTGCATTTCACGTCCTTGCATAGAATGTGCATTTCACGTTGTTGTATAGAATATCCATTTCATGTTCTCGCATAGAATGTGCATTTCACATATGTTGCTACATAAGATATGCATTTCATATATGTACTTGCGTGCTTGCCTTGCATCAGTTATGATTCACAAATACAGAATATGCTTTCGTTATGATTTCATGCATAGAAACTGCTTTTGTTTCCTGCATAGAACATGCCTTCAACTAACATCATATCTTGGTTGTTTTTCTTGCATAGAACATGCACGGTTATTGTATCACACTTGTTAAGTTTCTTTCTACACAGGCAAATGATATTGTATGTATGGTTCATTCAGAGGAGTTCCGGATGAGATCATTCATGTCTCGGTAAGAGAGCCTACTCCTTTAACTCGTGCATCTATCACACTTGTTCACCTTTGTGCATCTATCGCACTATTGCACGCTGGTTTGTTGTTTCTCAGGACGCATGACGAGCGAGCCTGAGTGGTGTTTCTTGTTTCTCAAGTTGCGTGAAACGCGATCTTGAGCAGTTTTGTTCTTGGTTTCTCAGAATGCGTAAAACGTAACCTTGAGTGGTGTTTTTCTTTCCTCGTCTCTTGTTTTGGCATGGTTAGAGTATGTTTTGGATCTTTTCGCTTTTGAACTTGAAATTGTTCATTCATATGTTATTATCCCACATTCTTGCTTATCACATTTTGTTATTGCTTATTGCATCATCTCGCATGATCATAAGTGTTCAAAATCACCAACTTCGCGAAGCGTGTAAGTCCAGCTTTCAAAGTCGCATTGTGCATAGCATTTGCATTTTGCCCCAGAACTACGCTGGTTTGATTCCTTGCAAAGGGATACGTAGGCAGCCTGCGGGTACAACCGTTCTTTGTCTTGTTTGTTTGTTTATCCAAGTCTTACGGCCTTGTCAAAATGGGTCATCTTTGGTCTTTGACATTCACTCACGCCATTTCATGACTTCCAAGTTCTGTCAAAGAGGGGCAACTGTAGACACCCAATTTTTGACCATCCTCAAGACTTGGACGTCATCGCTTGTGCACTCGATGATTATGATTTCTCGTTTTAGTGTTCGAAGTCCTTGGTGGAATGCCTTGTCTTTGAGCCTTTAAACCCTATCTATTCTATGCCTTGTTTTGGACCAAAACCTTGGTGTTTTAAGCCTGAACTTTTCTAGTGACCTGCCGGCCACCACCATAGGTTGTCGGCCATGTATCCTGGTTGTCGGCCATTGGTGTGGCCAGTCGGCCATTGGTGTGGCCAGTCGGCCACCGGTGTGTTTTACAGATATTTTATGCCAGCTATGCCAGCTGTTTGCAAAGATGCATGCATCTGCACCCATGTGTAGGGCTGGATCTTCTTGTATAGAATGCATGTTTTCTATATATAGGAGCTTCCCTCCCCCATTTTTTGAGTGTTAGAATTTTTTAAACAAAAATCTCTCTCTCTCTTGCAAATTTGTGCATATTAGCCTACATACACCACACTTTTGCCTACATTTCCTTAACCAAAATTGATCACCTTTGAGCTGAGGTTCCTTGAGGCCTTCTTGCAGCTCTAGAAGGTGGTTTTGTCTTGAATTGTTGCCTAAAGTTGATCTTTGCTTCAAGAGATATAATACCCCCCTTTTTTTAACTTGCTTTACATACTTGTTTTTCCATCTTTTCCCACTGTTTTTTGGGCTATTTTTGAACTATAAAAACTCTATTTTTCTGGGCTGAAATTGGTGGTTTTAGGCCATTTAAGGTTAGGGGGTGATTCACCCTTCTTTATTCCTTGTTTGTAAAGCCTTTCCACCTTTGTTTCCCATTTTCAAACCATCTTTTTTTGGGCCTTTAAACACCGAATTTCAGAGTATTTTCAGTGGTGAAAATCATGTTTTGAAGTCCGAATTTGGAAGGGTTAGCCTCCCCTCATTGTGTCTTGTTTGCTAGCCTAGTTAACTCTATGTGTTAGCTTATTTTTCTAGCCATTTGTAGCTTAATTCCAGCATATTTTAGGCTCTGTTTAAGACTATTTTGCCTCAGTTTTTGGTTGTTTAGTGCATTTGAGTCTTGTTTTACATGCTTGTAGTGTAAATGTCCTCATAAGCTTGGTGTTTTAAGGCTTTAGACACCACTTGTTTGAGTTGATTTTCATATTTTAGTGCTTTTCTCACTTAATTTCAACACTATTAATCTCTGCAACCTCTCTCATTTCTTGAGTTTTTCATTTGCTTTGAGGGTTGTTTCAACCTTAGGATAGTTTAAGCTTGAGATTGAGGTCCATGCTTAATGGTTTAATCCTCTTTTAGGGGTTCATTACCAGCGGCATGACACCTCTCTCTTGCCTTAAACTACCACTTGTTTGACACTTCCTTCCCTTTTAGAGGACTTACTCACCAATGGACTTAATTGGTTAAGAAATGGGTGGTAATCTAAAATAAGTAAATAAAAGTTGAAACTAAAATTGTGCAAGTTAAAAATTGGTTATGTCTTGTTGTGTTTCAAATCGGGCATTAATTTGAACACAAGGAAAATTGAGACATTTCATACTCGAAGTAACGAAATGTGTCAAGTTTCCTAGGTCACCATTGCCCTTGATCATACATGACAGGGTGAAGGTTTTGGTCTTGGTTGTGCATTTATTGAACTTGTACATCTTGGTTCTTTGGCCATCATGCAATGAAATTGCTTAATTGATGGTTTAAGAGCTAAGTGTATCACTCCTTTGAGATGTTTTGATGATAAGGAGAGATACACAGTACAAACAACCTGTGAGAATACCCTCTCTTTGCTCTGTTTGTCCTCTGTTGCAGCAAGGAGGAACAAACCAGCAATGGCTGATAGGCCATCATCAGTAGCCGACCGACCATCAGCAGTAGCCGACCGGCCCCTTATCGGCCACCAATAAAAATTCAGCAGTGTCCTTCTGAGACAGAATAGAGTTGGTCTAGAGGTGGAAAACCAATGCAAAGGTTGTGCAACAGAGGCTTTCAGAGGCAGACAGTGAACGTTCTTTGGGTGGAACCGAGCATGCATGGGCCTCCCTCGCTTCCCGGACTAGTTAATTAGTTTAAATTAGTCTTTTGTCATTTAGTTAACTAGTTTAATTAGTGACTTTGTTACAATTAATTAGTTGTAGTTGATTAGTTTGTTTTGTACTTATTTAATTAGATTGATTAATTAAGTTAGTTTGTGTCGTAAATATTTAATTAGCTCAGCATAATTAATTATTTAATTGTTGTAATATTTAATTAGTTTAGAGGTAGTTAATTGTTCATTTGTTTTGTAATAATTAGTTTAAGTAGTTTAGCTTGGCTAGTTTATTCATTCGGACTCTCCTTCGTGAAAGCATAATGTAATAATTTGTATGTCTTCCAACCTCACGTCTTTCTCTTTTTTATTTATCCGCTTTTAATGGTTAGATTAGGGACATCACGTTTCAATTAGCATATCACATGCTTGCATCCATTCATTTGTCTTGCATGCACCGAGGCTCGGTTCATCATTCTAACTGCATTATCGTTTCAAATACTTCTTTGAATACGTGCTTAGACCGCATGTTATCAAATTGTTTCATATGCCATATTAGTAGCCGAGCCTAGTAATTGCATATTGTATGTGTTGCATTAGACATTTGGCATAGTTAGGAATCATGCATTTTTTCTAAGTCTTTTGTTTTATCTTAACTTAGAGTACTAGGTGAGTTTTAGTGCTTTAGCATACTTGTATGAGTGTGAGTGACTGTCATGACTAAGTGTTTTCCATGAGGCTAAATGCTTACTTGTTAAACTGTTTGAGTGCCTGTGGATGAAGGCTTGTTGCTTGAATTGGAACGATTCAATGAATGTACGTTTTAAGCCCACTTTGTCAAGTGGCAAAATCAAACCATTTTCGAAAAACAAACATGAAATTGAATTGTTCCAATTCAGGCAAACTAGTCTATACCTTGCTTGTGCGCACATCACATAATAAATGCCAGCCTAATAAACTGGAACAAGAGCATATAATGTTGATAAAAATCATATCATGATTAGTAGAGACAGATCTTTGATCGGGCGACCGGAGGTGCTCAAATGTATTCATGACCTTCCCCCCTCGTACCTAAGTTCCTGAGCTGAGGCAATCTTAGTGATGACGGACACGTGGCCTTTGGCACGAGTTATGGGTTTCCTAAAATTCCCCAAAACAAAAAATATTTAGGTGGTGACTCTGTATCTGCCAAAGCAGTCAAATTTTGGCATTTTTGATT